TAACTAGAAAACCGTTCCGTGTTGATTTTGTGCCCTGACGCTAATACCTAAGAATATTGTATTGTTTGTATGTACATCTGGTTTTTCAGTATTCCATTTTATTACCTGTAATATGGTACTACATCGTTCCAGTGCTGTCACATCCAGTCCAGTTATTGCAGCTGTTTTCTTGGGATCGGAAAAGAAACGTCGGGCAGTATTGCCGTCGTTGGACGTTCCAGATCCTCCAGGCTTAGGCTTGTCAACAATCAGGCCAGTTTCCACTTTGAACCGTTTTTGGATTTGATTCTTTCTAATCTTCATGGCTTGAACATTCTGTCCTCTTACCTGCCATTTTTTAATTTCAAGTCGGTAAGACAAGTGAAGAAAGTATTCCATAAAGCTATAAAATATAGATATTGTATCAAACCATAATACTTAACACTTAATTTCAATAAATCTCACCGGATCCAGGCATGCAAAGTTGAAAGCCCAAACTGGAAAGCATCGCTGTTCTCCACGCGTTCAGTTACTGAATCAAGATTGTTCATCAATTTCGGGGTTGCATTACAAATATAGCAAGTTTGTGACGATTTGTTGCCCGTAACAGCGTTGCAGACCTTTCCGTCTACCATTGTCAAAACCATCTCATAGCGCACAATAATGGTACGGCCTTCTACCGTAATTACTGTTGGAACAAGCTGGTCAATCTGATTCTCTATATGTTTCTTCTCGTTGATTGATACTTCCGTAGTTTCACTCACGAGCTGAATCCTCACAGGTCTACAGAATCGGGTTGATGACGGTCGAGGATTTTGGAACAAAACTTTTCCGTTTACATCTGCCTTAATAGGAACTAAGGAAGTAATAAACATATTTGAATCACTAGATTCTCCGTCGTCATTCTCAAATTTTTGTTTGTATTCCGCATGTCCGCTGCTGCCATCGAATCCCCATTTTACCAAAAGTACAACCTGAGGAAAATAAATTATTGGTTCAAAGTCTCTATAATGAAAATAAAAAAGGTACAACCTGCTTGAGCTCGTCATCTGAAAAATCTTCGAGATGCTCCTTGTTTGCCAAAACAATCCTACTTGAGGTATGGTCCAAAAGCTTTTGAAGATTTACTTCGGCATTTTTTTCATCAACCATAATAAATTGATCTTCCGGATAGCACTGTTTCTTGGCATTGACAATTTTGTTGTACGACGGGTAAATATTCACGTTTCTCAGTTTTGCTTCTCCTTGGATTTTGAGGTATTGTGACTTGGTCAAGTTGGCATCTATGATCATTGCTAGTGCTTCCAGGTCAGAATACTGTAAGGGCTGCTTCTCCTGAGAATTTCTCCACGAAACAAGTATCTTTGATGCTCGGGTAGGGGTTGTCATTGTTGCTTCCTTCACTACTTTTGCCGCATCTACGGATCCACCTTCACGCAACTTCATTTGAGTAGCGTAAGTCAAGTTGCTAACGGAATGACCCCGTCTTAGATACGCAGTCTTTCGGCGTTTTACAGCATCAGAACTATCTCGGAAAGGTGTCGTTGTTCTACCTCGGCTTGTTGAAGGAAGTTCAGAGAGCAAGAGAGTGGGAAGATTGAAGGGTTTTTCGAAGTAGCGGATATTGCATTTGATCATTTTTGTCTCGGATCGGTGGAACTTGCGATAAAGCTTTTTAAAATATTTGCCAATCGGTAACAGAGCCTTCTCCACATCATCTCTATTTAAATCGGACTCGTCAATGTTGTACGCTTTATACACTTCTTGACTCATTTTTCGAACTTTTTCAATTTCACTTCCTTGGGTTTCCTTCCAGAGTTGCAGCAACTTACGCTTATCAATTTTAACTGAACAAAAAAGTTAGCATGTTCCTTCAATGTTTCACAATTTTCAATAAGTTTTACGAAGATTAAAATCAATACCTGATGAATAATTGGACATTTTCGATGGATGTTTCTTGAAAACGATGTTCTGATCTTCTCTTGGTACTTGAAATGCAGTAACAGGTCTTACGACAGCAGCCGACAAACTATATTTTTTTTCAAATAAAATATATGGTTTGCTTTGATCATTTTTCCTCCTTAAAAACAAATTACTGTCGAATCTCCCTAGCTCGATATCAAAGGGTCCATTGTGTAAGAGAGGATGTCAAAATCTTTTTGTATTAAAAACATCACTTTTAAATTCGGTGTTTTGATTAATCTTACATGTTATTTTACTTTTAAGTTACTTTAGAATAATAAAAAACAAACTAGAAATTAAACAAAAAAAATCGAGACCATTGTTAGATAGCAAAATATCGTTTTTACTTGAATAGCCCCATACAAAAATCTTAAATCTTTGTTTACTAAAATCCACCACAGTTTCCAGGATACTAACGGATACTAATGATCTCCACAACATTTCAAGTACAAATTCTGAGCTTTCAAATGAAACTTGTTCCAAGTGCGGCAATTTGCGGCCAGCTTAGTTATAGCTTTTTGAAAAAGGGTGATTTTTTGCTTAAAAATCACTGTATCTCTCGCCAATCAAATCATAGCACTTTGGTGTCTTCAGAAAAGTTGTGTGTTTAAATATTATCTCAAACTTTGCAGAAGACACCAAAGAGATACAACGTGAATAAGACATAGAAAAACTCAAACAACTGATTTTAAGGTGCAACTGGCAAATAATCTCTTATATCTTCATACAATGAAGTCATGGCAACTTGATGTCTTCAGCTTTGTAGAAGACATCATCTTGATATCTGTTAATATAAAAAAGTTAGTTTTTTGAAGTGCAGTTGCACCTTAAGAAAAATTAAGGTGAATATTCCAAAAGGTGCGGAATCCAGAACTATGAAAATCTTCTGAAGACACCTTAATGCTAAAACGTACGTACATCTCAGAAAACAATTAAGTTCACGAATTTGCACTTTTAAACCACAGTGCATTGGTAGCATTGGTGCTCAGCACGGAAAACAAGATCGACGGAAAACAAACCAAAGGAAAAAAAAATAGGAATTGGTTACACACTATTTTCTCATCAGCGTCACCAAGTGAGCCATTTTCTTATTAAACTATCCGCTACATGAAAAGTCCCACTGAACTGAACAATTTTGCTGCAGATTGTTCTTCATGGTCAGAATCAGAAGATATAATTTAAAACAGTATTTCTTTGCTCCCTAGCGCTGCCATGTAAGACAGATCTGAACTAAAATGGTGTCCGGAAAATATTTAGTTCTCACTCAACTAAACAGCTTTGGCCTAGACAAAAAATTTCTATGGTATCAAGATACACTAATAATTTAATGGAATATTCAGGTTTCACGTGAACCTAGTGAGTGAATGCCGAACGCTGAAAATGTTCACCATGATTGAGGCACTATTTTTTTTAAATCTTATGTGTGTGAGGAAGGTGTTAAACCATTTTTTTTCAAATGGGTGCTGGGTACCCGGTCACACAAATAGCGGTTAAATGACTTTACGGAGGACGTGAATATATTCTATCTGGTGAACAAAAAGGGTATAATGAGCATCCTGTATTTTAGCCTTAAATTTCTAATTGTTCAAAACAAAATATTTGATAGTAGTTTCAATATCATATTGTTATTGTACCTAGGGAAGAGCGCTACTTCGTCGTAATCGCCCATTTCCGTTCTATCGAGCTGAAATCACCAATAATATCGATGATTTCACCATGCACATAACAATAATACGTTTGTTCCGATCCGTTAGTTCACAAGCCACAGCATGAAGCCTATTACAGCGCACTGTTTGAATATTTGTCATTGTTCTCAAAACAAAAGAATCGCTCCTAGCGAATCCACTTGTTCTACCATCATCCGTAGGACGAAGAAAATCTAATGGCGTTTCAATGCGTTAGGACGGAATTGAAACTCATAGGATGAATTTAGAATCAAGAAACAGTGTTAGATTTTTAATAATATCTCAACATTGTTTGACTCTTTATCAAATCCAACGGTACGTATGGAAAGGTGAATAAATTTAGAAGTTATCTTTGATGAAAACATTCCATGTTTTGCTCAAACCCTTTCAAAAAAGAGAGGTAAAGTGCGGGATGTGCTTAGTTACACGGAAATTAGATCAAAAACCCTACTACCAATTATTCTGTTTCGATCAATTAGAAACTTAGGGCCTATTATTACCACCTGTTCAGTATGGTCCTCTTTCCCCTGAATAACTTGAATTAATTTTCAGTCATATGTATATATTGAGGAAAAATTTACCACGCTTCCCCCTTTTTGTCTTATACCTAATACATTTCTTGTCATAAAATCTTACGCCATCCTTCCTTCCTTAGAACGTGACATAAAATATGCATCACTCCTAAGTAGAATTCATTGATTAAGTCGTTGCTTAGAATTTTAACACGCATAATCAATGCTTACTTGACGCTCCATTTATGTGCATCATACTAGACAGAAATTTACACTACTTTTTCGAACTGTGCAGGGTTAACTCACTTTTGTACAAATTTATCTTTATGTACCTAGACAACAAATAAAAATCCTCTCATTTCCTTAAATCAGAGAGCATGAGCGAATACATTCGTTCATCCCTGGAAATTCTTCCTGAAGTTATTCTCAACCTTACATAGGTACAGTGAACTCTCTACAACTCGATATTGAAGAGACCATCGAGTTATAGAATAACAATCCCACACAAAATCGCTATCATAGTAGCCATGCGATTTATTTTTTTAACTATTTAACTAGTTCTATAACTCGATATCGAGCTAGTGGACATCGAGTTGTAGAGACTTGACTGTATAAGCAAAATTTTAATAAAATATACCGATGAAATTGTTTATGTATGGAAGTAATACTTTATAGAAACTAAACGAGGTAGTCCGAAAGACACCACTTGGTATTCACTTGCTTAGCCCACTAGGTATTACTACACTTAACTGTTTGATAACAATCCAGAATAAATGTCGTCCGAAGAATGTTGCTAAACTTTTTTATGATTGAACCCAATTCCCCATATTCGCAGAATTTCATCTTAACATATTGCACCCACCTTGTTGATTATGCAGCTGCTGTTGCTGCTGTGGCTGCCCGGTTTGGTTCTGATGACCCAGGATGCTGGCGATCGCTTGCGAAGCTGGCAGAATCATTCCATTCGAGTGTTGGTTGCCCGCGTTTACATTCTGTGCCTGAGCTTGTGACATGTCGATGGTGGAGAGAGGATTTTGCGTTTCCTTTTTGATGTTCTCCGCAGAGTATTTCAAAAAGTGATGAAGCGACAGGGGAAGGGCGGTTCCCGGAAGATGAGAGAGGTAGTCCGCTACGGATGCACCTGGGGCGAGTGATTGCCAGCTCGAGTTCTGAAGGACCCGCTTGCTGTCCGCTTGCTGAAGCAGTGCACTGATGTCTTGGGATATTTCCTGAGATGGTTGAGCCGAACCGGCCGTGCTGCCTGAAATCGATGACTGTGGATACATGTTACGTTGCTTATGGTCGATCACATCCGAATGCTGACTGTATGGGATCGTATACTGTCCGCTGGTGGTGGTGGACGGAACAATAGTAGTACCGTGTTGACCGTTATATTTGTTCGAGTTCACCACGCTGCTTGTATCCTCTGGGCGGAATTTTCCTAGGATGGGCGCGTGGGACTGGTTGAAATGGGCCATGTTGACGTTCGAGTTAATGGCGTGATATCGATTGCTGGTATCGTGCGAAGTCGAGGGGACACTGGTGACCAGCCCTCCACTCGCGAACTGATGAATTCCCGGAATCGTTCCGGGAAAGTGCGTTCCAAACGGGGAAAAATTCATTTTGGAACCTGAAAATACAAGGAAAGGAAAAATGTTTCAATCAACAGCCGGATTTTTCTTCAGAAAACTAACTATTTTTCGCAAAAGCCTTCATTGTGCCCACGGAACGGGTGTGTTTCTCCGAGCAGTGCCTAGCGTAAAATGCTTTACCGCTCGAATTTTCTTTTCCATCCATCCATCCACCCAACCGCCATGCCAGGGAAAAAGGTTCTAAATATATACTTCATTCAAGATTTTTTTTTTGCTCGTTTCGCTTTCCTGCTACTAGTTGGAATACGACATCCAGCGCCCATACACCCACCCCCAGTCGTCAGTGGGTAGAAAAGCGTAGAATAACAGTGAGAAAAAAAGTAGAGTAGGGGTAGAGTGGAAGGTAGGAGCAGGCTCGAAGGAAACAGCTACCTGGGTCCCTTTTTCCCACAACGTTCTCACTCCCGTATTTGTCGCCATCTCGTTGCGGCAGGAGCAGTGATGTAGCTAGTGGGTATACCTTGTTCTTATCGTTGAAATCGTTTGAAATAAAATTCCAACAGCTAGCAGCCACCAGTACCAAATTATGAATGCATTCTACTTCTCATGACGGTTCAATTAGTGCTGAGAACAAATCAAATTATGATTTTCTTGAACACTAGAATTTTATTTTGGTTGGAACCCTCCCGATCGAAACTATCTTCTGATTTGGTGTGATGTTAATGTTAAAGCGTCTCCACTTTTCTACCAGTAATGTATTATAATATTATTTGGTGCCTTCCTTAGCTCAGTCGGTAATGGCGCAGGTACAAAGCAATACCATGTGCTGGTAGTTGGGTGGCTGGGTACGATTCCCGGTCTGGTCTAGGAATTTTTCGGGTTGTTTAATTTCGCGTCTTTTCTGAATATGTCCTTGCCACACAATTATACTAATTTTAAAAAATTGTGGTGGCGTTTAATTAATAACTGCGGAAGTGCAACTTGAACACTAAGTTGAGAGCACGCAATAAGCTAATATGCGATAAGCAATAAGCTAGAAATGCGAATAAGCAGACGAAGAAGAAGTATTATAATAAAGGGGGAAGCGTGTTGATCATTTGACTTCGACAATCTTGAAATTTTAATTTCCTCTGGGATCTTGGAATACTAAGTTCAAGAATGTCTTGAAAACTTCTTATGTTCGGGTTATTCTTTTAGTCCGTGATAGTCCTAAACATTGACGGAAAGATGTTGAAAATGTTGTATGAAGTCAAGAAATACATTAACACCACAACTGAATGTTACTGCTTAATTTAATTTGTTTCCTTGTTGTCCTTGAAATCGTAAATATTGTAATAAACAAAAACAAAATTATCTCGGATACCCATTTAAGCTGATACATGGAAATTTATCAATGTCAGATATTGTAAGGCTGAGCTTAAAAACGCCAACCAATCTAACCAATTGCTTTTTTGTCTCTTATAGAAATACTCACTTACGTTTTTAAGTCGGAAATTCATTTCATAAGTGATGGTTTGAGTGCTTTTTCAATCAGGCGAAAAATATGAAAATTGTGTTTTAATATGTTTGTAAAATATGTAACATATACTATATAAAAACTATATACGATATCAACGGAAATACCCTAAGCTACAATATGAAACCAATGTTTCTAATTTGGAAGAAGCACAACGAGTAAATTTAATCTTTATATTATACTATCAAAGTTACCCGCATTATCAAAGATACCCCGTTTTACGGTTCAACATGTGATATCAGAGAGTCAGCATGGATTTGTCAGGAAGCGGTCAACAACAACCAACCTGATGTGTTACGTTTCTACTCTTGTGGACAGCCTTGAAAAGCGACAACAGGTCGATGCAGTTTATGTCGACTTTTCTAAAGCATTCGACAAAGTGCCGCATGCACTGGCAGTGGAAAACTCAATCGCATGGGATTCCCTCAGTGGCTTACTCAATGGATTGAATCGTACTTGTCTGAGCGTTGGGCTTTTGTCCGCCTCGGTGGAACTTCATCCGAAACGTTCTCAATTACTTCTGGGGTTCCCCAAGGAAGTCATTTGGGACCATTACTTTTCGTGCTGTTTGTTAACGATCTGTGCGGACTCATCAGATTACCAAAGTACATGTTCGCTGATGACCTGAAATTATTCCACCTGATAACCTCCATGGTCGATTGTTGCGCTCTTCAGATGGATATAGACTCGCTTGAATGGTGCTCATTAAACGGAATGGAAGTGAATATTCGTAAATGTAATATCATCTCGTTCAACCGATCTAGGACAACTGCCATTTTCGATTATAAGATGAACGCTTCAAGTGTCAACCGTGTGTCATCAATCAAGGATCTTGGATTAATACTGGACAGTAAGCTGAAATTCACCGAGCACATTGCAACAACCACCGCCAAAGCATATGCGATACTAGGGTTCATCAAGCGCAACACACAGCAATTTGAGGATGTATACTGTCTAAAAACATTGTATTGTTCGCTGGTGCGTAGCATACTGGAATATGGCGTTCTAGTATGGGCACCGTATCACGTCACGCTTTGCTTTCGCATTGAAAAGATTCAACGTAACTTTGTCCGCTACGCTCTACGACTGTTACCATGGAACGATCCGGTTGTTCTTCCGCCGTACGAGGATCGCTGTGCTTTAATTCGTCTTTCAACATTGGCTGATAGAAGGATTCTTCTGCAACGGCTGTTCATATTCGACATTCTGGACAACAATGTAGATTGTGCTGAACTTCTAGGGAAAATCCAGTTCAATGCACCGGCTAGGCAGACGCGACAAAATGACCTTCTCCGTATTCCTCAGCATCGTACAGTCTACGGTCAAAACAATCGACTGGATTGCTGCCGTCGTTTCAACGAATCGCGTGAAGATTATGTTTTTAATATTTCGAAAACCATGTTTAAAAATAGGATTAGTACTTTAACTAGAAATTAATAATTCTGTCTGTGCGTTTTTATTATACGAAGACAAGTAAATAAAATAAAAAAAAAATTACACTCAGAACCAGAGCTGGCAAATGTCATTTTCAATGAAAGATCTCACTTCTGCCACTAAACGATGATAGAGATTTTCTTCAAAATCTCATCGATTTTTTTGTCATGACAGAACCCAAGCAACACACATGTTCCATAGCAGTTTATATAACTTTTGTACGACAGGTTTCGGTTGTAAAGAAGTTTACTCAACATAATTCTATGAATTGGTTTTGCTTGGGAACGTGACAGTGTTGTGATCATCATAATTACTAGCTCATTTATTGCTATTAATGTTACTTGTTGATGTCAAAATCGCATAAGAATTATTATCATGAGCTAATGATAGGTAGATTCGTCTTGTGATAGTGAGAGGACCTGTTTTCTTATTGTCACATGACGACCGTGATATTTGCCAGCTCTGCTCAGAACACTCCTAGAAATTCACCTGGAATTACTATAAATGCTCCTTAAAATCATTTCTACAATTGCCTTGAAATTCTTGTCAAGACTCTTTTAGAGTTCTTCCTAGAGCTAGAGCTTACCTTAGAATTGTTCCCTATTATTGGTCCCTTTTTAAATTTGGAATTGATTCCTTTTAAATTTTTTATAAAATTCGCATGAAATTTTCATAAAATTATTCTTTTAAACAGTGATTGAATCTTTAATATAGTCCAAATTTCTTGGGTATTTCCAAGGTCCAAAAAGCCACACTTGGCACCGTAGTGTTATTTAGCGATAATTCATTGCATCAATAACAAATTATTTTTTTAGATCTTAGAAAAAAATTTAGACCACGTATCATGAAAAATACTATTTCTAATAAAACTGTTAACAGATTTTAGGAGCTTTAAAATTAAGATCATATTTTGCGTACTTTGACGCGAAGCGCTGAAGATTGTGAGATGCTGGAGGGATCGTTTTTGCTTACTGGGCAGTAAATCATGGATGAAACCCCAAGCTCTTCCACAGCCCAATATATCGCCATCGTCATTTGTATATTTGAGATTAACCATCAACATCGGATACTATTTGCATAATCGCAATATTTCGGTCATGTTTTGTCGCGGAGCGTTATGATTCTGAGATGCTCGATGGTCCTGGAGGGATCATTTTTGCTTACTGAGCAGAAAATCATGAGTTTAGAATTTTAGTTTATTTACGCGGTGATGATGTTGGTTCACTCGCAACTATTTTGAAAAAAATTAAGTGTTTTCAAACGAAAGTGTACCAAAAGTGCTTCTGAACGTGTTTCGTAGTTGGGTGTGGTGAAATTCGTGCATTCCCGGTTGATTTTGGAAATCCGTATCACAAAATTGCCCACCGATTCCTTTTTTTGCCGTTCGACGACGACGGGTGTGCTTTAGTGAGAGTGACGTTTATTTGATCCGTTTCTTTGCACGGGTGTGTTTTTTTTTGTAACTAGCGTAAGTGTGCCTGCGATTTGCATTGAGTGTCGGAGATCGTAAGTAATCTGAAGGATGCCTCGCTGGATACGCCTAAGACTGGACGGGCAGTAGCTGGTGGCCGTGAACGGACGGAGGTGCCGGGCAAAGGTGTTTATCCTAGACAAATAGTAAGTTACAAATTCGCTGTTGTCGTTGTCGTAGTCGCTGTCGTAATCGCCGACGTAGTCGTAGGCAGTACCGTTAGTATATTTAAAATTACCCACCAACCGCTGAAAATATGAATTATCGCGTATTTCTGTTGTTCATTACATGCCAAGTAAAATTCGAGAACGTAATTTCATTTGAATAGCTTGTTCAACTAGGTCTTAAACAATCGTCACGTCGGTCATAGCTTGTTATCATTACCTGAACCATGCGTAAAGAGAAAATCGAAACATTTAACGTTGCGTGAAAATGGATCTTAATAAAGGCCTCTTTCGTAGCTTTTAGTTTAAGGATTTCAAAGATCATCTGTTGCAGTGGTTTGCTTACTGAGCAAAAAAAGGCGGTCTCAGATCCTTTCACATTAAAAATGTATGGTTAGATCGCTTGTTTATCGTGTATTTTGTAAAACTTTTCGTTGTCGTCGGTGCCGGGTCTGAATAGTCATAAAAACTTGAGTAACGCTATAATGTGATATAAGAGGCTCGGTGGCCTTAGCACAACCGGTTTTGCTTACTGAGCAAAACATCATGAGTCTAATCTCAAGCCCATCCACATTC